CGGTATTTCCGCTCCGTCTTGAAGGAATGCCATAGGGAACTTGTAAAGACACTATCTCAGCTCTTTGCTTCCAACAAAGAATCCAGCCACGGAATTCCACTTGGAAAAGTCTTCCACGAGCGGGGTCAGATTCGAGTCGTAAAGGGTGGGGGAGGGTACATCAGATCAATCAACGAGATGCCAAATCCCGAAATCCCATTGGCCACATCTCAAAAGACAGAACTACGGAAAAAAAATGTTTTTTTTCTCCAAAACATCCACACCACGACTTACATGACCTTTATTTTGGTTGTGGCGTCGAACAGCCCGACAGGTAGGTAACCCAATTGAATACGGCTCAAATATCTGGGAGAACAAAGTAGAACTCGGATAAGATTTTTATTATTATTATATATTTGAGGGATGACCCAGATGCAGGTAGCCATTTGAGGCGTTCTCCACTGGTGCGATATTGAATAGGTAGCATAACAGGGGGGGGGGGGGTAGAATAAATTAGCCAGGCACATGGAATGAGACAATAAAACTTCAAAGGAAAGTGTAATGTGCGATTACTGCTGAGGTGTAGGAATGCCAGTGGTTTTATGGGCATGCTCATGTGTATATAGACGTAATTTCTTCTTAAATTCCTGCATGGAGTCTGCAGGGAGTCTGTAGGGGTTATCTTCGGTGGTAGACAGTTCTAAAGTACAGACATTCTAAATAGGAACATAGACTTTGATAACGATTCGTATTTAGGTAAACTGATTTGAGCCAGCGCAAGCGAAAAGGGGCGTTATCCCGCTGCACGTGATTTTGAGAAAATTGCACTTCAAGTGAATCATCTGATTTCCGGCTGTCACGTTCGGATCGAACTTGAAACTGTGCGTTTTCTGTGGTTATGTGTGAGATACGTGATTTCTTTGGAGCAAATTCACTATGTCGATAGGAAAGTCAACATCCTACAGCTCCTGTAGAAGAAAACCCTGTCTAAATCGACCCACATACCACGCATTGGCGATCAAAAATCGATCTATCGAGAGCGCAACCTCCGCTGCATGCGCAGCATGCGCGAGTGTGAAAGGTAAAGGAACTTGCTTTCAGCGCAGCTGCCTTCCTCCCTTCGGTTTCCCCTGAGTCATTGGGTTGGTGTAGCTACTCACCATGAGCTACCGTAAACGTTTCACCATCAAAAAAGCGCTGAAATCTCTCCTGGCCTGAGAGAAGATGAGGCTGAATTGTTTGGTGATAGAAATATTATCAACACCTAAGAACAAAAAATTAGTGTATATAACTGCTCCTTGCCAGACTTTGACTTCATATTGCATCCTGATGATGGCAATTTGCCGAAACGTTGAAAATGATTCTGTGAAATGAAAGGAGTTGTGAATTTGCAGTTTGCAGGGAATGAGCATGTGTGCTCACCAATTCTCTTCGAGTTATGAAGCTGCAGGATGCCTCACCGCTACTTCGTTATATTTTTTAGGTGCTTGAAGTTGCTCATATGTTGCTCAGACGAGTACGATCTGATTCTTCGTCAAGGTGAGACATGTCGCAGTCGATCCACGTCGGTCCCGTGGAGAACCGGTCACATTTGAGTATGCTCAGAGAATGCGCTGATCGAGAAATTATGTGGAATTTGAAACTTACTTGTTTCTTTGCTCAGCATACTAGACAACTGAAAACTTTAGCGGAAGATCCCAAAAACACATATTTAGAATTGACCATTCTGACCTCTCAATTGAATATAAGATGTAGATGTTAAGGGTTTTGTTGCCTACTGATGTCTATGTCTCTTTAGAACCAAATTTTATGACACTAGATCAATTTTTGAAAATACCGATTTTTCGCCTGAAAATGGTAGGAATCCAGGTGGTTTTGGGTAGTCCTCAAAGGGTGCTACTGTCCTGGACATGAAAATCCGGTCGGTGTTCAAGCGACCCATGGGCGCTGGCCATGCAGCCGTGAGTACGCACACCGTGCACACATTCATTTCTGCGCTGTAGCGCTGTAGCATTTTTGGATTGTGAACGTGAACTATGGATTTGGTGTGAATTTTGGCACGTGTCAATGCATATTGCTGGAAGTGACTATACCTGTACCCGGTACCAGTCAACTTTCCACCATTGCAAGAAAACACACAGTACACCCAGCAGAAGAAGAAGAGAGAGGAAAAGAAACAGTTGTGTTATGATTGTTTTATTTTATTTATTATTTATTACAGCATCTCATAGCACAGTGAGAACACCGGCCAAAACAAAGAGAGAGGGTGTTAGCCAACCACGGCAAGGAAGGGAGAAGGGGAGGAGAAGAAAAAAAGGAACCGGCATGGATAAGTAGTGATTGCAACAAAATGAGAAACACAAAATCAAAGTCAAGTTATATTTGCAGAAGCTGGGAAGCTGGGCTAGTATCTGGTGTGACCACCATTATTTGTGATGACTTCCTGCAGACGCTTTGGCATGGATGTTGCGAAACTCGCCACATCGGCAGGCTGCAGCGCTCCCCAATCCAGATCCACGGCCTTTCGCAGCTCATTCGCAGTTTGGCAGTTGTGTGCTACCAGTCGTCGTTTCAGCAAGCTCCAAATGTTCTGGATCGGGTTTATGTCTGGTGAACGAGCAGGTTGAAACGCAATGATCGGCATGACGTTTTCGAGGATGTGCTGCTGCGCGTTAGGTGACAGAGACACAGTGCCGAGGACGTGCACCCTCGCCGGATGCTGTGACTGCTCAGCAACAGGCACAGAATCGCGAGGAAACCAGAACATGATCCGACCGTCGGGGCCGGCAGCAAAACAAGCTTCGTCGGCGGATACTATCCGGTCGAAGGCGTGGCCTTGGTGGAAGACAACCCACGCAAGACGGTGGAGCTGGTGTGCCTCTGTGAGGACGACTTTCCTATGCGGACGCCCAAAGCGATGGGCTTCTGATAGGCGCCGTCTCACCTGCCTAGCACCTACTGATTCGGCTGCTGGACCAACATTAGCCAAATCGGTTGCTGCTTTCTCCCTGCTGGAATAGCGGTTGTTTTCAACAAACTGCTGGATGTGCTGAAGTTCGTCAGGGCCTAGTGTGGGCTGAGCGCCACTCCCCGCTTTCGTCTTCACTGTAACACCAGCCTCGACCTACTCGATAGTATTGTTTACCTGAACAATGCAACATAGAGAAATGCATATTTGAGTAAATGTCGCTCTCATTCTGCTCGTATATCCATGGCTTTGATATTTTGCATGCTTACTGGGGTTTTCTTATTGCCGGTCAAGTCGTGAATGCGCCTGCTGCTCAGCCCAGATCGGTAGAGCCACATGGCGACTCATTACCTCCACCAAACCCACTGCGAAGAAGAGAGTCCTGTTTGTTGGAAACTTGATGCATGCAATTACTGCAGACCAGCTGAAGGAGTTCATCGCAGCAAGAGCAGGTGAGGCTGACCACAACATCCAAGTGTTTGACATAAATATATGAGCCCCAGCCAGCAGAAACCTGAACATGTGTAATTTTTTCAAAAATTATTTTTTCGCTCGAAATTGATTCTACACTATTAATCATTCAAGTTATCAAGTTTGGTGACAATCTGATAAGCGAAAGCATGGAAAATAGAGTTTGAAGTCACACAGGTCAAGATTCAGTACAGTTGGCGCAGCATCCATGCCCAGTGACTCCATGCAAGTTGATCCTACAGTTTCTGATTGTGATGTGGAACAAGTACATGTAAGTAAATAGAATGCAAGTCAGGCTTGCCCTCTTGGTGCTGCAGGCATGAGTAGTTCAGAAGTGTGACGATATTCCGTATACACCACTACCTTCTTTACAACACCAGAGTGCAAAACGATACTGATTGGTGGCTGGCCTTCCAAATTGTGTTCAGGGATCTCTGTGCTGGCAGTTTGAGCATTGTCCCAAAGCTTGCCATACTGATAGATGTACTGACCAATACCACTGACATCCACTCCCTTGCACACTTTCACTCAGACCATGATTTCAGCATAATTGTATTTCGATGATATGAGCGAATACTCGCGTTGTGTAGCACGTGAAGATGTTGCCCCAAAGCGTTCAACCGGTTTGACTTTTTAGGAATCCCCTTTCTCAGCACAGGGAGCAGCCAGCTTGGCATCGTCTGGCAAGGTAGAGTACTAATAATACTACGCTCTGTTTTGCGCCGTGAGAAGCCCTCCATCAGTGTCTGCAACATCATTGTTGTCGATGTAGAAATACGGATCGCTCAGCGGGTCGACATTCAGCTTCTCCTCGCAGTCGCTATTACTCCAGCACTGACTATCGTCGCCACCAGTATCTAGTGTCGATTTTATGAGGGCTCTTCGTTGCTATGAATATGAGACTCGCCACTGCTGGACAAACTCAGCGAGATCGCCACCAAAGAAATAATTCTGATCGCGAACTAACTTTCAGCGCCGCTTCGTACAGGGAGTCTCACGCTGACAACTCTCGACCTAAGTCCTTGTCGCGACACCTGTCGCCATCGCTGTGTCTAAACTCAATCTCCGTTTGACGAGCTCTCACCTAGCGCTAAAATCAATTGACCAGACTCATTTGAAGAAACTTGAAACTCCTTGGACAACGAAGACACCCACTCGATCGAAAAAGAATCTTCAAAAGCAAGCTCACTGCGCGTCCCAAACTTTGACGTCACATTTTGATGATTGATATCAAGTACACAAGTGCTGGTTTTCGCTGGCCGGGGCTCATATATTTTTTAATCCTCCACTGTGCGTAATGTTGCCAGTGCAACGGAAGAATTGTTTCTCATCAACAAGCTCTTCTGGCCCAGGGCTGTGTACACAAGGGAGTAAAACTTCGATAAGTACACCCAGTCTGATGCCCGTGGAGATCAACAACCAGCGCAGAGGGGAAGCTTTGCGAAAACGAATTGTACAAGGCGAACGCCAAACTCCTACTGTACTCCTAATGCATGACATTGTGATAGACTAGTTGACTACAAAACAAGTTGTTTCACACGATAGAAAGTTTCGCCGTATGGTTCATGGCAGCTCATCAGGTGTGCAATTTGAAACTCGGGTATTGCGCCAATAATAAATGTAGAAAGGACGAAGGACATATGGAAACGAGTTAAGAGTAACTCTGCACCACTGTAAATAGATACTAATTCGTTTTCGCAAAGCATCCCCCTTCTGTATTAATCTTTGATATTTCTCAGCCACCTAAGCTGAGTGGTGTGCTGCTTTGCTGCTTTGAATTGTAGTGAGACCGCTTTGTCAAATATCCTACTGGTCTCGTCATCGTCCAGTAACAAACGACACTCTTTGTTCCGTTGGGACTGTAGCTTTCGCTCATTTTCGTCGCACTTACCTTCCCCTCTTTGTCCTCTCCTTAACCTTGAACCTTCCGAGTTGGAACGCTACGGAGATGTGTTGAAGCTAGATGACAGGACGTCGAATGTCTCAGTACTCTGTCAGTTTTGTGCCTAGTTGTTGCACTTATAAATACAGCCTCTGTGCTACGCGTACGAGTCCACAATGGAGGAAACAGTTCCGCACGTAGATTGAGTAAATTACGGGTTATAGTTACGGGGGAGGTTGGAATCCGCGAGCGGCAAAAAATAATAATATTTCATAATATTTCTACCCCAAACCTGCGCAGCAGGATGCTCAAAGGACTATTATTATTATGCTCTATTCGCGTTAGCATCAGTGAGCTTATAAAGCTCACATATAGCCTTCGCTTAAGCCGCAAGAAGGAGCAAGTGAGCGCGAGGAAGCGCAATGCACACAGAGCGTCAAAACAAAACAAAACAACAAAGAGAAAAAAGAGACAAGCTGCAAGAAGGAGCAAGTGAATGTGAGGAAGCACAGTGCACATCAAGCATCAAAAAAGACAAGATGGAAACGCAAAGTTATGTCCATTGTTGCATTATCGGCTGCATACAACCTTCACCAGGTCCTGCCACAGGTCCTGCCACTGGGGGCGATCTGGGGCGAGCTGCTGCAGCCTGTTGCAGTCATCTCCATTATCTATATATAAAGGTATAAATATTGTTTCATTAGCAGCTACATACAGCCTTCACCAGTTCCCGCCACTGTCGACGGTCTTGGGCAAGCTGCTGCAGCATGTTCAAGTCATCGCCAGTTTCTAGGGCGGTATTATTTTTCAGCTTTTTGAGATCATTATTGAGCGTTCGCGGGAGCGTTGTTCTTGGGCGTCCCCTAAAGCTGGGGCCGTTACCCCCTAAGAAGTAAGCTCCCATGGCACGTCTGGCTGGGGCTGCCTCTTCCAAACGCAGCACATGACCAAACAGCCTCCATCTAGCATCTCTGATGATTTGGCTCACGGCGCGAGATTCTGTGCGTTTATAAAGGGAAGTGTTCTTTATTTTGAGCGGGTATTTAATGCCTATCACTGTTCGCAGCTGCTGCCTGCGAGTCCAATTTCTGCTCCTGTGTCCCCGTGAGACTCCATGTGCCACAGTTATAAAGCAGGATTGGTAGAATGAAGCTATTATAGAGGCGCACTCGTAGAGACTCTCTGATGTGTTGCCCTCTCAGCCATATCACCCACATCCGGTGAAGTGCGCTTGTAGCCAACCGCTTTCGTCTGCCTATGTCCTCATCCACTCCAAGCATCGAGCCCAGCTTTATTGTGTGTCGCCACTGTTCCTCTATTCGATCCTTTTGTCTGCTTATCATGGTGTGTTCCGTCTTCCCCTCATTCATCTTCAAGTTCCACTCTGCTAACGAAGAGGATATTGCAGGAAGGCAATTTTTTAGATACTTTTGGTCGGTATTGATGAAGTCCACATCATCTGCATATTCCGACTCTCCGGGCAGAAGCAGCTGGACGTCTCGGTCTGGTCGCGGCGGTAGACGGTTTTGTACCTCTCTTAACGCAGCTTCCAGGTATATCGTAAACAATACCGGCGACAGAGAATCTCCCTGTGGAGTCCCATTGTATGTTTCAAGTGGCTGGCTCAGGATGTTGTTAAGCCGTACTTTAATGGTTGTATCCGTAAGTAAGCACTGAATAAGATGTAATTCGTCCCGGTTCACAATAGTCTCCAGCACGTTCATGAGCTTTGGTCTTGAAATAGTGTCAAAGGCTTTCGACATATCAATTCCCAAAATGGCGATATCTTCCTTTACTCTTTGGCATCTTGCTGCCAACCATCTGTAGGAATACACAGCATCCGCTGTACTTCTCCTGCTGCGAAATCCGCTCTGGCAGGGCGAGAGGTATTGATCAACTGCCGGCTTAATACGCGTCAATACGATTAGAGACAGTAGCTTGCGTAGTGTATTTAGAAGGGTAACTGGCCGCAAATTTGCAGGAGGACCTCTCTTCTTGCCCGGTTTCGGCAACGGGACCAATATACCATCACCAAGCTGGATGCGTTGATCTTTAGCGTAATTATTGAATAATGTGGCTATGTTACCATGCAGTGATTGCGTCCCATACTTCAGGAGCTCAGCCGGGATTCCATCGGGGCCGGATGCTCTGCCGTTATTTAAACGTTTTGCAGCCTTGGACACGTCCTCAGTCGTTATGGATCGGTTCAGTGGCATTTCACTCCTCTCCAACACAGTTGTTGCTAGTGCCTGGTCGCAGAATATAGTTCTGAAGTGTTCCTTGACCGCTTCCATCGATTCCGCAGGTTGAGATATAATTTTGCCTTCAGCATCCTCAACGATAACCGGTGATTGTTTCTGACGACGGAGTAGCTGGGTTGCTTTGAACATCTTTGCGTCATTCTTTATTCTTCCTATTTCTCCCACTCGTTCATCAAGCCTGATCGATGCTATCTTGAGGCATTCCCGCCGAATCTGGTGTGAAATGCGATTGCGTTCTTGCTTCATCTCAGAAATCTTCCCAGCGTCTTTGCAGTTAGTGAGATCCAAACGTAACTTGCGTTTTTTTCTCGGCTAGCTGTTCAATGGCACTGTTATAGCCATTTGTATGTACTTTTCTTCTTTTTTGTACTATGCCAATGGATGATGCAGCTGACTCCTTCATAATGCCGGTGATCTTCCATGTTGTCCATCTCACTGCATGTCAATTCCAGACCCCGCTCGATTGCCGCTTGGTATGCCTCCCTCTTGCTCAAGTCACTGAATTTCTCATTGGTCTCCCTTGATATGCATGGCGCATTCAATTTCTTGTAAATATTGGTCAGGTTGACTTTAGTGAGGACAAGGCGGTGGTCACTCTCCATCTTTGTCCCCGCATATGACCTCGCATCTTCCACCACAGAACGCTCACTATTCCGACAGAATATATAATCGATCTGGTTGTATATGGGTATTGCTGAACCACCGTCTGGGTTGTGACGCCATCCTGTCCATGTTGTGATATGTGCCGCACGGTGTTGGAATGCAGTGTTGCAAGCAAACAGGTGGTTGTCCGACGCAAAGTCAGACAGAGCCTGTCCACTGTAATTGCGGCGGCCTCTTGAGTGTGCTCCGCAGCACGACAAATCATGTCTCCCCGTAGCTGTAACGGAACGTTTTCCAACTTTTGCATTGAAATCACCTATCACGAAAAGCATGGCTGATGATGGAAGCTTCTGAATTGTCTCCAATAAACTGTTGTAGAATTCATCCAGACAGGCAGGATCCTCCGCAACGCGTCCAGATGTTGGTGCATAAACGTTGATAAACGAGCACAGAGTTCTATCGGACAGCCATAGCTGCAGCACAGCGATCCGGTCAGAGATACTCCAGTATCTGTGAATTCGGGGCAGTAAACTTATTTTTACGGCGAATCCAAGTCCATAGTGTCGAGAGGTCGACGAAAGACACAGGAGTCGATAATTATCAATAATTCCATCGAAGCCCTGAGAGATTTTTGTCTCTTGCAGGCAGCAGAGTTCAGCTCCATATCTTGTTAGGTCACAAATAAGTTGATTTTTTTCAAATTTGAATTTAGTCCACGAACATTGAAAGTTCCGACGTGAAACAAGCTACTCTTGTTTCTACGACTGCTACTCAGAATACTGCGGGTCCTCAAACCCACCTGCTGATTAGCGAAAGACATAGGCCATAGGGTTCAAGAACAGAACCACCATGGCTGAGAGGCGTCACTCTCTCATCCAAACGCCCGCAAAGGACTAGTTTTAAATTTAGGAATGAGCCACCTTAAAGGTTGCGAGAGGGCCGCAAGTTATGAGAACTCGGAGGCTCTCACGTTTCTCTTCCAACAAATGCAGTGTACAAGGCCTCGAACTTACTACGATGGACTTACTGAACACAGTATTCACTGGCTCACATGCACTAACGACAGTTCACTTTTGTCCCAGTGCAGTCCACCTGCTTGTACAGTCCATTCATCGGAAACTGGCCCGCTGGCTTTTGAAAGTCGGATTTGGACCGAATTGAGGATCAAAAACCCACTTTAAATCTCAAAAATCTGGGTTTTGGATCTGTTTCTCCATACATTTTGCCATTGCATACCTGTCCTAATATTGTAAAACCTGGCTGAATTTCTATTTCCCTGTTCTTGGACTTTTCTGGCCTCAAATGTGGCAAGGATTAATTGCACGGGTCACACAATGCAGGATGTACTGTTGTTTTCACGATATGTACAACTATGTGAGAGAGACACCAAAAAGTTAGGGTGCCAGTTTCCAATGAATGGACTGTAGCTCGTCTTGAATTCCTCAAAGGCGACTGGACCCGACGGTGTTTCCGCTCCTGTCTTGAAGGAATGCGCCAGGGAACTTGTAAAGACGCTATCTCAGCGTGGGGGGGGGGGGGGGTAGATGAGATCAATCCCGAAATCCCATTTGCCACATCTCAAAAGACGAGAACTACGCCAAAAATGCCGTTTTACGATACATGCACAACATGACTTACAGGTTTTCTAATTTGGTTGTTGCATTAAACAGCCCGACTGGTAGGTGAACAAATGGATTATCGTCCAAATCTCTGGGAGAACAAAGTAGAATTTTGATAGGATGTATAATCACTTTCTGGAATAATTTCTTATTACTCTATTTTGCATGCTAGTTTGTAGGTGGAGTGTGTGGGTTACAGTGAGGGCTGCGTGCCACCCGCCTGTGTAGATTCACACAAAGTGTAAGTTACAAAGTGTGAAGAAAAATTAATGTAGAACTGTTTCTGATGGGATGACGACTACACCATAGCTCAGTGGTTACAGCATCACTGGTTACAAGCGAGGGTCCCTGGATCGAGTCCTTGAGGTGTCGGTCAATTTTTTCTTCAGACTGTTCTCCTTTGTGTCTTACCCTCGAATTAGTGAACTCTTTATAAGCAGCTATATAAGCAGGGTGGCCAAGGATGTTTTGGGATACGTTAACCGTAGCAGACACCAGAAACCAGATCTTGCGATACAAGAGCTATCACTAAAGCAAAAGAATATTCGTCTGAGTATCAACAACTCCACCGACCCAGCAGTCAAGGCCAATCTGAAAAGACAGCGAAATGACCTTCAACACACCATCAGAGACAAGTGTCGAGCCAATGCTGAGGCGCTTCTGGAGGCCAAAGCAGCAGAGAGTGTGAGAGGCTGAAGGACGGGGCATGCATGTTTAAGGCTGTGCACCTCATGAGACGACGGAAAGCCCAGAAACCGGCTGTGGGGGACGAGACTGGACGGTTTGCTGGCAGCGACGGTCAAGCGGCAGCTATCGTCAGAAGTCACTTTATGAAGCCGTTTCTTTCAGTTGCATTCGGGTAAAAGTCAATTAGGCTGAGAATTGTTCTCAAGGAAAAATTCGCAACACACCGTCGCCAGTATAAAACATTAGAAAACTGTTAGAAACTGGAAAGCAGCCGACTCGTGTAGACGGATTGTGAACGCGAGAATCTAATCCTAAATTAGAATAAAAATAACCCCGCTCAAGTAACATGCCTCTGTTCTTGCACCGAATCTCACCAGCATTATCAATATGTCTCTTAGAACTGGACAGGTTCCGCCAACCTTCAAAGTGTCACATGTCAGTCCATTATGTGGCGACCCAACCCTGCCCCAGAACTATCGTCCAGTGTCTCTCCTCCCTATTATCTCCCGTATTCTGGAGACAATGGTTAAGAGACAGCTCACTGCCTATTTGGAGGCACACCAGCTATTGCCCGACAATTTGCTTATAGCAAGCACCATTCGACTGAGGATGCACTTGTGTTAGCTGTTAGTCTATGGTCCACCGCTAGATTCAAACGAGAGTTCACTGGGCTTGTTTATATGTCAAAAGCTTTCGACCGTGTTAAGCATGAACGTCTAGTTACAGTTTTGTTTTCCCTTGGTATAGCTGGAACTGCCTGGAATGGTTCGCTGACTACATCTTAGGGTGTTTCCAGAGTGTCAAAGTTCTGGACACTGTTCGTGAATCCGTCAGTTGCTCCCATGGTGTTCCCCAAGGTAGCATCCTTGGGCCACTGCTTTTTGTGCTCTACACTAGTGAACTCCACACCATACTGCCACCGTCTGTATGTTGCGGATTTCTGTTCGACTAAGATTTACGCAAGTTGTTGTATTTGGTTCTTGTCTGGTAGAGTTCAGTGTCTGATGTCATATATGGTCTAAGTGTACGCGCGAATATGGTATGGTGTTTTTTCCGTTGTCTTTTTCTCGAGTCTTGTTTTCGTTTTTATCCTCCTGTGCCCTCGCCGTTTATTATTGAGAAGTGAATACTAGTATTGAAGCTAACTGAACGGAGTGTTGCTGTGTGGCGGGGGCCAGGAAGAGAACAATTTACTATTTCATGTACAGCACCAAGAACTTGCAGATGACAATGTCATGGACTGCTCCAATTCTGACCCTGCTATGGTGTGCAGAACCCTCACGCAAGCCATTACAAACCTTGCTACCTGGCTGTAGGACAATGGCCTGCTCCTCAACACTCCCAAGACACAGTTGCTCTTCATTCGGCCACGAGGCGCAGCTGCAATACAACCGGAGGTCTTCTGCAATGGCGAGAAATTCTGTGTGACCCCTACAGCCAAGTACCTTGGTTTAGTCCTGGATAATGATTAATCCTGGGCTCCGCATGGGGAGTATATTGGTCGCAAGACAGCGCGAACAATTGGTCAGCTCTGGAGGCATGGACGAGGTCTGAGTTTGCTTCCCCGGCGAACATGGTTTCTGAGCATGATCCTTTCCCTGCTGTGTTATGGTTCAAATCGTTTCTTTCCAGGACTTGGCGCACACCTGCTTGATCAAGTCTCCAAACTCTCCAAGACGGGTCTACGGTCAACCCTCCAACAGCGTAATCTCGTGCCCACAGCTCCTCTTCTATCCCTGCAGGTGTCCCCAGCCTACTGCAACTGCTAAATCAAAAGTTTCTGGTCCTAGTTCATCGGTGCCTCCACCACAAAGCTAGCCCCCTGCTTTAGGAGATGTTCACAGGCACTGCTCCAGTTGGCGTCCCCAGCAACATCCGGGCAACTTGAGGGCAGCAGTCCAATCTGCTATTTGTGCCTTTTCTCCGCGGTCCCTTCGGGCGACGTTCCATCCGGTTCGTAGCAAGTGTCCAGTGGAATGCTCTTCCCGTCAGCGTCAGAACTGAGGGTGGAAAGTGGACCTTCCAGGCTCTCACACATGCACTAGATCTAGAGGTGATTGCAGCGGAGCAGTAACTCAGTCAGCTACTCTCACATACTGATCGATCTCTGTCTCGATATCTTTCTCTCCCTCCCCTCACCCCCCTTCTCACTCTCCCTCCTCTCTCCCTCTCCCTCTCTCTCTCTCTCTTTCTCTCTCTCTCCCTCTCTCTCTCTCTCTCTCTCTCTCTCTCCCCTCTCCCCCCTCTCTCTCTTACTCTCACTCTCTCTCTCTCTCAATCTCTCTCTCTCTCTCTCTCTCTCGTTTTCTCCCTTTCCTCTTTTTTCTCTCTGTCATACTGTATCTACGACCTAAGCTTGATTTTTTACTTCTTCCCCACTCATCTACTACCATGTTCATGATCATTAAGAGAGCATGTCTCTCTTCCAAGAAATGCAGTGTACGATGGACCTACTGGACCCAGCGTTCACTTGCGCACCTGCACTGATGACAGTTCACTTTCGTCCCAATGTAGACCACCCGCTTCTACCTCGTCTTGATGCCTCAAAGGCAGCTGGACAGAACTACGCAAAAAACCTCTTTTCCGATACATGCCCACCATGACTTACAGGGTTTGTAATTCGGTTGTGGCTTTGAACAGCCCGTCAGGTAGGTCAACCAGTTGATTATACCTCAAATTTCTGGAAGAACAAAGTAGAATTTGGATAAGATGTACATTGTACGTCAAGTGTGTGGGTTACAGTGAGATCTGCGTCCCACCCACCGGTGTAGATGAGAGAAAGAGAGAGAGAAAATGATAGAGAGAGAGAGAATGAGAGGGAGAGAGAGAGAGAAACATAGGGAGATGAACAAATTAAGGAGATACATCCGGTTGATTTGACGTTGCACTGTCGGGCTAATAATTATAGGATTACAAGTACATTGATTTGTAACTAGTTGGATGAACATATTGCCACACGCAGAGCCTTCCAGCTCTTACGACAGGCAGCTGTTGCCCGGAGCAAATGGAGATCTTCCAGAGTCAGGAATCTACCCTGCCCGGCTTTCTGCAGATCTTGATGCGGCATGCTGGGAAGAGTGACGCGTGGCCGGCCAAGCCATCTGGTGCTGTTGTTTGCGAAACAGATTTCCATTGCCGATACTGCGGGGTTGATGGTGGCAGCCGCAAGATGTGACCAAATAGACGCCACCTGGCATGGCGGATGAAGATGCTGATCTCCGCCATTTGGCACCTCTGGTACAGTACTTCATTGGAGATGCGCTGTGGCCATTTGATGGCAAGGAGAGACCGCAACTGACGTCGGTGGAAAGCATCCAACTTCTGGAAAGCAGATTGCGTGAGGCGCCAAGTGCCACAGTTGTACGCGAGGACGGGTAGGACGAACGCCGGCTACAGTCACAGGCGCAGACGCTCACTCACAGCAGATCTCCGTTTCCAGAGGTTAAACATCGAAGTGAAGGCCGCTGAAGCAAGCTGCTTCCTTCGTGCTACGTCAACTTCGTCGCCAAGAAGAGATCCTAGTTTTTTTCGGACCATTCTCCACTCCTCACCAATCCTTTCGTTGCTTCTGAGCACCTGAGTACGTTCCATTTTACTTGGGTTGACACTCACTGACCCTATCAATATCAACTGGAAATGTAATATCATCAAACATCCAAATACTATCTTATATTACCCGAATACCATAATATCATTATGATTATCAACTCCCTCAGTATTTAAAGTGTAGCAATAGAATCACACCATCTATCACAATATCAACATGCAATAACTATCATAACGTATCGCATTCGATATCCATACTTATCCTGTTTTCTTTTTTCCGTCTTGCATGTTGCTTTCTGCCTAAACATCAGCATCTTGCAGATTTGATATCTGCTTACCACCACTCAGCATAAGCGAAATTATCAATCATTTGATTGACGATGACGCGAAAATGCAAATAACAACAATAAGTCAAACAATAATTTAATAACCAGCGAGGAGACAACAATTTGATAACCGCAAACAGTAAGGCCATCATTTTTTGATAGGTATGTTTCGCGTCGTCCGCACGCATACGTTTTGATTTTTTCGGAAAAAAATAAAAAATTGAACATGCACAGTGAGTGTACGATTGTGCGAGTCATCAGTGTGTACAGGTTGCATACGGCGAAGCTGGGATTCAGAAATGGCCTCTAGCCTAGGCCAGCGCTGGTAAATCGTTTGTTCGGCATCTGGGAGCAATATTCTATGAGCTTACACCAGACCGCATGGATCGCCTAAGCTGAGAGGATGCGTTGTTCCGGAGCTCTTTGCACCGCTGCTGAAGTCTGAGTACAATATTCCAGCGAAGCATAGGCACCATGACCAATGGTTGCCTCCTCTGTCCAAAGTGAATATTTACTCATGCTGATAACCCAGATGTTGTGCTTCGATGTACGATTTTTCTTTCGAATGTACACCATGCACGAGCTATTGTGCTATGTAAAGCGCATACACCTCTGATCAGCCTTTTTTTATTATTTTGCAACTTTTTATTTTTTCCACCTCTCGCATATGATTCTGGAAGTTGAACTGACGCGAAACATAGATATAAAAAAATGATGGCCTAATACTAGCTGGATCGACATTTGTGTACACTTTATTCATGTAATGTAAAACTGTGGAGAAAATGTGCAATAAAACGATGAAAAATGTGAAGAAATTTGGATTGAAACACGTATTTGTACAACACTCATCAGGAATCACATTTTTCATCGTTTTATTGCACATTGTCTCCACAGTTTTACATTACATGAATAAATTGTACACAAATGTCGATCCAGCATGTATTACTGGTTGCGGTTATAAAACAATTATTTATGATTTTAAATAGTTTTTACTCGGTTAAGGAGGCAATTTAATAATTATGGTAAAAGTGGAGAGAACAACATATTACGAGTTATGACAAACAGTCCACCAACGTGACCAGATCATATGCAGGCAGCGAGTGCGACAAAATGGCACAAAACTTACAAGGAGTACGGAGACATTCAGCAACCTGACACCTAGCTCGAACACTTCTCCAAGGCGCAAGCCAACAAAATTCCAACTTGAAAGGCTCAGGGTCGGACATGTCCAAGAGGGTAGGAAAGCATATTTTTGTTGGATAGAATGACTCCTCCATTCTTCTATGCAGTCATACTACCGTATTTCTGCAAATGGTAGGCCGGTCTACTATTTTTTCAAACTCCTTTTAATTGAGGACGGTCTTGTATTCGAGGACGGTCTTTTCTTCTTTCAACCCAGTTTGACCCCGGTCTTCTATTTTTCGCCACACAGTTTTACCCCCATTCTTCCATTTTCTTCTACACAGTTTGAGCACTGTCTTCTATTTTTCCCACAGTTTGAGCACGGTCGTACGACTCATTTAGTATACCCGGTCTTTCAATAGGACACGGTCTTGTCTTTTTTCAATCACCCCTGCCCCAGCCTTGTATTCAAGGCATTGTATACGAGGACGATCATTTATTTGCGGAAATACGATGATTGTACACCCTTGAGAAACACCTCAACTTCAAAACTATGTATTTGTACCGCTGCCTGCATGGACTTGCTAGTCCTCTTCTAGAGATCGCCATCCTGCGAGAGCACCACGTGGTCTCCACCATTGAGGAGATCACCCCGAAGTTGAGAGGTGCCAAAGTGTTCTCGATCGTCGACGTCAAGTGTGGGTACTGGAATGTGGAGCTCGACGACGAATCCAGGTACCTCACCACCTTCAACACACCATTCGGGCGCTACAGATTCCTTCGCATGCCATTCGGCTTCAAGATGTCGCAAGATGTCTTCCAAGCAAGGATCGACCAGACGTTCCAAGGGTGCCTAGATGTCGCCGGCATCGCAGACGACATTGTCACATACGGGACGCGAGACGAGGACCATGATCTCAACATGCAGCAGATGATGGTTCGCTGCGAGCATTCTGGTCTTAAGTCAAACCAAGACAAATGCCGCATCAAAGAGGACAAGATCAAGTTCTTCAGCATCATCTGCAGCGCTGACGGATATCAGACGAGGCACTTTTGAAAGCCTTGGGTCCCTACGGGAAAGCCGCTAGTACGGTACGTCATGGGCACATAACGACCCGCCGAGGTTTGAAGGTGGCGTCTTGTGTACGCTATGTAATCTTCCACCTTGCTCGCCATGCACTGTTTATTCCGTCGTCCGTCAGGACACCTGGTGGTCACATGTTCTCTGTACGGTACACTGATCAGCCAAAGACCTGCAGACTGTGTGATTCACCAGGCCACCTGGCTACTCACTGCCCAAAGGGAAAGCGTTCAGTACGGGAGAACGAAAAATCTCCACCAAATAATGAGCAAGCAAATGTGCAACAGCCGGCTGTACGTTCGTACTCTGATGCCATAAACGGCTCCCAAGCTCCGCCACAAAGCGAGCGCGAGGTAAAGAACCACGGCAACACAGACCAACCAGCCATAGCAGCAGACGTAACAGTCGAAACCTCAGCGGTGGACACACAGGCGGGGGCACCGGCAGATGGAGCGGTGATCGAGCCCTATCCTGGGGTATCCGAAGTGCTCATGGAGGTACCTGCACAAAGTGCAACACCCACAGCTCCCAAACACCCACCAGTCTGTGGAAAGACCAGTCACCAGTCTCCTGACACACCACCCAGTGCGTTTGTTCTGGCAGTTGGCAAGCACACATTTTGCACAACACCTGCAATGCCCAAGCAACCCGACCTACAGGTCCAGTGGGCCAATGAGGCTGCAGCGCTTGAGCAGGGCCAACTGGCGTCAAGGATTGCATCACGCAGTAGTTTGCTAGGCCGCAAGATCACCATGTGCTCGTAAGTCTTAGTCAAAGTTAAACACGGACAATGAGGTTAACCCTTTGCGTGCTGAGTACGAGTTAACTTGGTTGTATTTTTATTTAAATTCGCAAACCGAACGGACTGAACATGTCCAATGACAAGGAAGTGAATGAAGTCCAAATAACCCAGGAATGGGGACAGAGATGAAAAGAAAATAATGGGAACAGAAGGCTCTCGGCAAAGGAAGAAGAGAAAGGAAGGAAGGAAAAAGAATAATGGAGAAGAAGAAGAAGAAGAAGAAGAAGAAGAAGAAGAAGAAGAAGAAGAAGAAGAAGAAGAAGAAGAAGAAGAAAAATCGTGGTCACGGCGAGAAGAAAGCTTTTAGCAAAAAGACAAAGGAAAGGATGAAGGAGAAAATGGGGAGACACATCGTGGTCACGGCCAAAGCCAGAGTAGCGGCAGGACACAGCATACAAAACAACACCAGGAACAAGCAGGCATGAAGCATGGGCCATGCCGGCCCAGAAGCGGGAGACCCCGAAAGGAAGAGAGAAGAGAAGAGAAGAGAGAGAAATCGAAGCATTGCACATCTACATGTACGCCCACACATCCACACACCCACACATCCACACATCCACACACCCACACCTACACCCACAAACACACACACATACATGTACATACCCACACCTACGCACCAATACACACATACTCAGACACATACCCCCCCCCCCCCACACACACACACGCACATGCGCGTGCACACACACACACACACACAAACACACACATACACACCTCAGACCTCAGACGTGCCCATCGCGGAAGCGATGATAGCGAACAGCTATGTTAGACATAGCAACTTGTGCTGGGATTACACC